CTTGCAACCAGCTGGATTTTGATCGCCAACTGCTCCATGGAACCGCGGAACCTTCGGGAACGCCAAGGCTAACATGTCCTGAAAAGGCAACCACCACCCCAGAAAAGTAAAGCCGACCCAGAAGGGCCACCCAACCCCAACCAAAAAGCAACCCCACTTGTACACCACATGCTGCGCAGCAGCCCCAAAGAAACGGCCAAAACGGCCAGACGCATCTGGGCTGCCGGGCATCCCTCTGGGAGGAGACGGCGCGCCCCGGAAGCTTGGGCCGTGGCCAGTGGACTGGGCAGGGAAACTGCAGCAACGGCACTGTAGCATGCCCCGCGCCGAGAACGGCACTATCCAAGGCTCATTGCGCCGATAAACTTGGCTCCGGCCAGCAGAAACATGGCCCCACTCCTTGCGGCTCTAGCATTTGACGGCCTGCGGGGTGAGCAATACCCCTGCAACGCAACCACCGCTCGCCATTCAACACAGGTTCAGTTGAGGCATCGCGCTCTGCCGGCACAAAAAAGGCGCGCTGACTGCCAGCCCGTCTCACCAGTGGATCATACGTTGGAAAGGCGCAAGCGCGTTGAACATGGTTGGCTTGTTGAATCTCAGCCCCGGAATGCTTTGACTTTGTCCGCAGTTGTGTATCACAGCAAGAAGCCGCACGTTGGTTAACTGTGAGCTTCAAGCTCCGAAGGCTGGCCTTCAACCCTCAAGCCAAACCATGGTGCAGTTGCCACTTTGCCACCAACAAACGCTGAAGTGCGCAGCCCACCTTGGAAAGCAACTTTGTTGGCAGAGCACTAAAACAAAGGAAGCCAAGCATAGAGCGCAGACAAGAAGGCAGGGATTGATAGAGACTGAGGAGGGCTTTGCAAGATGTGGACTGCGTCGTCTTCCGGCTGCTAACATAAGATTCGGGAAAAGGAAGATTTCAACAAATCACGTTTCTGTTGTTGGTGGACGTTGGCGGGTTCCTTCCCCAAGTGGCAAAATGAAGCGGGGTTCGAACGCCCAAGCCGCAAATCCAAACCATCAACCCGGTCTAGATCTCCAGCCACCATGATCTGGCCAATTGGGTTTGTCTCTTTTACGGAACCTCCAAAATGTTGGTTTCGCTGTTGGTTTCCCTTGAAAACCTCGAAAAAGGTAACCTCAAAAACACACAAGCACACACACACACACAATTCAGGGTGTTCGCGAAAGGAAGCAGAGTCGACCTCCCTGGGCGCCGTTCCTTGGGCTGGCCGAAGACCGCCGCCTGCCCCCCGCTCTGAGTCTCCAGGACCCAACCTCAGCACCAATAGGCACACGGTTCTTTGAACAATTGTGAGAACTTGTCGAGGGGGTATAGAATTTTGAACTGGCGCCATCCAAATCCACTCCTTGAGTCTTCCAACCAGCTAGCGGAGAGTTGGCCGAAAGCATGTTGCCGCCGTGTTGTTTCAAGCCCCAGCCCCGCCCTTAAGGATGCAACATTCAACATAATGAGCTGAAGATTCTGCAGACTTGGCTCTGCGCTAGCGCAGCTTTGCAAATAGACTGAACAGCGTCGCGCTGCAAGAAGTGCCCGTAAGTTGCACGAAAATTGCTCTGCGCAGTTGCTCTGCGCAACTTCCCCGCGCAAGGAACTGCGCATCGATCTCTGCAAGTGCTCTGCGCATGTTGCCTTACGCAAGTTGCCCCGCCCAAATTCTGTGTGCGAGATATTCTTAGCAAGCTGCTCTTCGTAAGCGCTCTGCGCAAGTGCCTTGCACAAGTTGCTCTGTGCAAGTTGCTCTGCGCAAGTTGCATTGCGAATTTCTCTACACCATAGTGTTCGGCGCAAGTTGCAGCAAGGTCGCCCGAGCGGGTGCTGACCCCACTCAGGGGCATCTTGGGAACGCGCTCGGTCGGGAAGCCGGCAATGAAGCTGTGGCGCAGGTAGCCCACACGGCCGATGTCGATGTTGCGCACCGTGTCGTCGTACGTCCCCGCAAGGACCGAGAGGAAGTGGAAGTGCTCCGAGGCTCCCTTCATGGGGTTGTGCGGGTACTGCAGGCTGCCCTCTGCGCAAGTTGCTCTGCGCAAGTTGCTCTCTGCGCAAGTTGCTCTGCGCAAGTTGCCTGCACAATGGCCCTACGCAAGTTGCTCTGCGCCGGTAGCTCAGCGCACGTTGCTCTGCGCAAGTGTCTTTGCGCGAGCGCTCTGCGCAAGTTGCTCGGCTCGTGCAAATTTCGTGCAAGTGCGATTTTCGGCTGGAATGCGCTTCGCGTGCTACTTTTGCACTTAGGGGTAGCACGGCTCTGTTCGAGTAGCTCTGCGCAAGTTTGCTCTCTATGTACATGGCTCCGTGCAACTGACTCTGCGCAGCTAAGTCTATACAAAGGGCTCTATGCAAGTTTGTCTGCGCAAGTTGGCCTTCGCAGATGGCTGTGCGCAACTTGCTCTGCGTCAGTGACCATTGGTTAACGCGTGCCACATTTTAGCAAGCAAGCCCCTTGACTCTTGCAGGACACACCCATGATAGTCCGCCAGGCTGACAATCCGGGGCTTTGTGTTGCCAGTTGTTCAAGGCATACATCAGGGGCGCCGACTTCAACGCGGTGTCCCTGGGCCCGCTGGCCTGCATACCCGCCAAAAAACAACGGAAGCTGACAGGGTGCTTGAAGACGATGTTTCGCTCCGGGAAAGCCACCTGCCCACTTCAAACAGTTCAACACTTCCTGAAGCGCTCCGAACCGATCCGGGCACTCATGCCTGGAATTGCCGGCTTCTTCTTGCCGGCGACAGGACACGTGCCATGGAAGGCATAGTGGGAGAAAGCCTCTCTCCCAAATAGAATAGCAGAGATAGGGCCTATTGTTCTAGATATCCATGTGCATCTTATGACTCCAATTCATAGATTACATCGACAACTAGGTTTGCATGTCCAAGTTAAGGGAACAAGGGGCCGAAAAGTCAACGACCAGGGATGGTTTGTGGGGGGCATTCCAAATCTCATTCCCTGCCTATCGCGCCAGTTGCCACGCATTTGACCCCACGGCCCGGGAGACCATCAGACAGGCCCAGTTCATCGACCCTCCGAGTTCCATGAGAAGCGGTTGGTCGTCTCGCTGCTTCCCCACTTGCCGACATCGGACGCACGGCTCGACTGGAGCAACTCCAACGGGTCCCGAGCAGGTCCATCGCCGCTGGGTCACAAGGAGCCAAGGTGATTGGTGCTCCGTTCGATCCACGAAACCAAAAAAAAACACCCCCCCCCCCCCCTTCCATTTGCCGAAGCCCGCTGGGAAAGAAGTGCTAGATCCCCTTCACAACAAGCTGAAACCAACATGTAGAAAATATGAAAACCTGAGAAAAACCGCCGGGTTTTCACCCCACCGGTTTTTCAAAAAAAAAAGAAGGCGAAAGCGAAAATGGCAGCTGACGAACAAGGGGGGTGCCCAAAGACGGATCGATCCGCCTCTCTGGGTCCCGGGCTTGTGCCGCACCCCGTCGCCTCGATTTTCGGCGGCTGTGGACGGTGCTTTTTTGAGGGGGATAGCCCTGGGCCCCTCACACGTGCGCCGAAAAAAGCGGACATGCGGAAATGGTCTCTGCTGAAATGAATTCCCCTCACTTCCACGGCTTAGGCGTGGTGTTCTGGACAGTGGCAGAAATCGAAAACGCCGTTTTGAAGTGAGAAGCTTAAAGGGGAGCCCCCCGACTTTGACGAGCCGAAGGAGTGAACAAGCCTTCTTTCAAAAAAAAACTATTGAGTCGAGTGAAAACACGGGATTCCAACCAAAAGGCAGGCATGGTAGCCTCCTGTCCACGTCCATGATCACAAGCATCCAAGATCCGCCTGCTTAAGGTTCCGGATCCTCAAATCAGCTTGGGTGAGTTTTGCTCGCTGGCCCGAATGCATGCTAGGGACCCGGGATCATGGGCCCGTTTTTCACCCCTCGTTTGTGGAGTCGCTCGCCAGGTCGCCAGGTCGGCGTCGAGATCCGAGATCCGAGTGGACGTCGCCCGAGCGCGGCTTTCCGAGTCGCAATTGACCAGCCACGCAGGAAGCTCCACCGTTGGGTTTGGTGGGTACTTGACCTCCTAGCATTTCCTGGCTCTGAAAACTGCCTAGCAAAGATAAAAAGGGTCCACCACAAACTTCCACAAACCATCATCTTCTCGGTTGAGCTACGCTCCATATCAACGGAAGAGCCTTTTCGAGGCCGTTTGAAACCCAGGCTGCTGCCATGGTTTCGACCCACGCAAAAGCGACATTTCAGGACTTCGCCTTGTGGAAAGAGGAGGTCCTACCTGGAAAAGGGATCCAAGCAAGGGACCGTCATCGTAAAGATGAAACCATAAATGAAGAAGCTGCTCATGAGACAAACGGCTGGGATCATCCCAAAAAACCTGCGCGACAGGCAACTCCTGAACCCCCTTCCACAAAATTGGCGAAAGCCCCTCTGAAAGTCTGTTTGTCGCTTTCCAACCGGGACACTGAAACTCATGGCTTCCCATTCCCGAATCGGATTCGCGCCTGACGGAACACGAAAAGGTCCTGGACACCCGCGTGAGTCAACAGCGAGCCAGCAAGCGTGCCCTAGAAGTCCAACCAGCTCAGCGCCGACATGTCCAGCAGCCCACATTTGGGCCTCTCTTAAAATAGGGGGCCCCAAGAAACCCTGGTGGTTTCCCTGAAGGGTACCCTGAAACAAAGACAGCCCGGTTGATAGCCGGGAAGCTGGCGGATTCTGATGGGGGGGGGGGGGGTTCCCTGTTTGCGAAGGATCTGAAGGCTCATACTCGCCTCTGCCCTCTACCATCTTTGGGAGGGGGGGGGGGGGGGTTCGCAATTCCATTCATCTAGTCTTCCCCATAAAAGGGAAATGAAACCATAAATAGAATTCCAGGAAAATCCCGCATTTCAATACAAAAACGGGGGGGGGGGGGTTGGGATACGCAATTCTCCCCATCCCGTTCTTTGCTCCGCTGCCGCTTCTCCGCGCTGCTCGTGCTGGAAGCTCTCTGCCGGCGCCCGGCGACGGCTTCGCCGCTGTCTGAGCTGGAGGCTGCGCGGAGGCGCCCGCGGTTCCGGCGCTTCTTCAGCTTGCCCTTCTTCGCCTCCGGGCGACCGATGGCCGCCGAAAGGTGGGTTTTTCTGTCGGGGGGTGGGGGTGGTGGGGGTGGGGGGCGGGGGTGGGGGGCGGGGGTGGGGGGTGGTGGGGGGGAAGTGCTGGGTGGCTCCAAGCGAGAGAAACAAAATCCGTCCAACAAAAAGAATCCAAATCCGTTCCTTCTGCGTAGTGCTTTTGGGGGGGGGGGGGGGGGGCGTCTTCCGTCCCTTCTTTGAGAACTCATCCTGATGCACAGCGGGATTCCCGCTCCATGACGACTTTCAGCTGGCGTCACAGAAACCCCTACAAGCCGTTTTGCTTGTTACGGGGGCGAAAAACCCCTCGCGGTTTGATTCTATACTCCTTTCCTTTCTCAATGAATCCACTCTACAGTAATCGCGCGCAACCCCCACCCCAACCCCGCTGCTCTTGCTGACAAAAAGGAATTGTGCAATCTACTGTCAGACGTTTCTACTGGCTTGCTCTTCCTCCCAGAACAAAAAGGAACGGTAGGTTAATGGAAAGGCAATTTGCTTCCAAAATGTCTAAGGGGTCACACCAAAGGCCAGCCATGTAGTGGAAACCTAGACTAATAAACCCCTGGTTAACTTTTTTTGCAGGGGGTGTCAACCGGTATGGTGGGGTTCAAACCACGTTTGGAGGGGGAACACCGGAACGCACCCCCCCCCCCTCATGGGAATTGGAAACGGTGCACGCCCCGTCCTTCTTCTTCTCGCGGACGCCCTGGCGACGAGCCCGGGTTTCCAGGAGTTTGGGGAGTGGCAACCTTCCTTCCGCAGAAAGTTGGGAGGTTCCATAGGGGGGGATGGCCCAACCGGAAAAAAAACGGTTGAAAAACACCTCAGGAGTTGCAAGGATTATACACATGGGCGGTGACAGACGGTTCGAAATGGAAGGCCATTTTTGGGCCGAAGAAAGTGGCATTCTCAAAAAGTCCTCTCTTTGCAGGATTGTCCACCGAACCCGAAAGATATTTACCTACCCAAACGAGACCAGGCCCCTCAAAATGCCACCAACCCGCTTCAACGCCCAAAAAAACAAACGTGTCATCAAGTTCCACACATTTCGTCAAATCTCATGCCACCTTTTCTTCGAAAACCCGGAAAAAACCCACCTGCGCACCTCAGTTCCCCTCCAAAAGCCCCCGCCTTCGAGCGCGAGCGGCTCCTCTCCCACACCTCCGCCGCGACCGCCGCAGCCGGCGCCGCAGGCTCCGGCGTCGGAGGCGCCGCAGGCGCCAGCACCGCCTGACGGCCGCATCGGTTTGATGGTGAAGGAGAAACTTCCCAGTTCCCCTTCGTCAGAAAAAATCCACATGCATCTGCCCCTAGAAAGCTGTCTTTCCAGAAAGTGGCTGCCTCACGTTTACCAAAGTGAAGCTTTTGAAGTGGGATGGGCTCCAGTTTTGGGGGACTGTTCGCCTTGAAAACGCCCAAAGCCGAATAAAAAGTTCAAAGGCGCCCGAGTCTTTCGTCGCAAACCCAGTTTTGGGCTGGACAAGTTCCGCTCGAACCCCACCATCCGGCCCTGCACCTTGCGCTTCTTCTTCGGCGCCTCTATCTGGGGGGTTGCCTGGCCACCGGGCGGAAAAACAAGCAACCTGAGTGACAAGCAAACCTGGTATTAATAAAATGGTCGACCCAGAACCATGTAAAGAATGAAGAAGGCGGCCGCAACTATGGCTGGGACTGTCCCTTACGAACCGTCACTTGCGCGGGTCTTGATTGTGGCTCACCTTTCTTTAAACAGGGTGCCAAGGGGTTGGTTGTTTGAAAAATATCCTGCAAACACCTCCTGACACAAAATCACAAACCTATGTCTTTTCGGGACTATAGGGGCTGAGCGGACCACAATATCCCTTGAAGCCACCATTGTTTAGACAACTCTTGAGGAAACAAAGAACAAAACTATAACCTTCAGTGGGTTAAGGGGACCACCGTTGCTTAGAGATCTGTTTCGCAACCTGACCCCAGCCTCCTCAGGTTCCTCCAGGAACTGCTTCAAAGCTTCTTGTTCCTTGGACTCCTCCGAAACCGCAAGACATTCCAGGCTCATGCGTTTCTAGGTAATTTATTCTTTCTTTCCTTTTAGGGAAGCCCTCTTTCCACTTCCTTGTTTGTTGGTGGGAGGGTAATTAGAATCATTGGAATACTTGAAGATAAAACGGCTTTGTACGTAATATGGGCCCTGGTTGATGGCGGGTGTCGGGAATCCGGATCACTTTTGTTGGTGAGCTTCTTCCACCCCCTTTTGGACTTGGAAACATGATCTTGAAGCACACCCCAAACCAAAGGTTTCCGGTTGCGCCCGTCCGGCGCTGGCGGTGGCGGCGGGGGTGCCGGTGTGAAGACGTTGAAGCGTCCCTCGCGACGCTGACGCACCTCGGGCTGAAACACCCGAGGCGCCATCTCGGCGTTTCCCAAAAGTTCAGAGGGCTGCGGTTTTACCACACAAAACCCTCAAAAATGACAGGCCCGTTTCTTGTCTCCGGTTCAACCCATCTTTTTTTCAGGGGCGGAACGAGAGAATCGGAGCCAAGGAACTGCACTTACTTCGCTTCAAGCAATCCCCACCCTCCACACTCACGAGCTTACGACCGTGAACACGGTTGTGCGAATTCAAGCATGGTTTTCGAGTGCCTTGGGGCCTATGACTGCTCAATAAGCTTTGCTTGCTGTGTCAAACTCCACTTGTGTGTGAGCCGATCTCGAGAACTCAAACATCGGTTCTGTTAACAAAAGCCAAGCCCCTTCCAAAAAGAAACCCGACGGGGGATTAAACGAAGTTGCTTCTTCACAGCCCAAAGCAACACAAATGCATCGCAGCCTCAAAACACGAAGGCACCAACATGAAACGTAAACCCAACTGTGCGCCAGGCGGGACATTAAGCAAAACCAGGCTGGCGAGCTGCTCTGGCGGGATACTGGCGGGATCCACTGGCGAATGCTGGCGAGCAGCTCCGGCTGGATACTGGCCGGAAACTCGGCAGGATCTACTCAGCGGCATCTGGGATACTCAGCTGGATGCTCGGCGGGATCCACTGGCGGCTGCTCTGGTGGCATACTCGGCGGCACCACTGGCGAGCTACTTACTCTGGCGGGATACTTGGCGGGATCCACTGGCGAGCTACTCTGGGATACTCAGCGGGACACTCGGCGGGATCCACTGGCGGGCTGCTCTGGTGGGATACTCGGCGGGATCCACTGGCGAGCCGCTCTGGCGGGATTCTCGGCGGCAGGGTCCACTGGCGAGCCGCTCTGGCGAGCCGCTCTGGCGAGATACTTGGCGACATCCACTGGCGAGCCGCTCTGGCGGGATACTCGGCGGGATCCACTGGCCAGCTCTGGTGGGATACTCGGAGGGATCCACTGGCGAGCCGGATAATTACTCGGCGGGATCCACTGGCGAGTCTGGCGAGATACTTGGCGGGATCCGCTGGCGAGCAGCTCTGGTGGTACTCGGCGGCGGGATCCACTGGCGAGCCGCTCTGGCGGGATCGGTGGGATCCACTGGCGAGCCGCTTTGGCGGGATACTCGGCGGGATCCACTGGCGAGCAGCTCTGGCGAGATACTTGGCGGGATCCACTGGCGAGCAGCCCTGCCGGGATCGGCGGGATCCACTGGCGAGCCGCTTTGGCGGGATACTCGGCGGGATCCACTGGCGAGCTGGATAATTACTCGGCAGGATCCACTGGCGAGCAACTCTGGCGAGATACTTGGCGGGATCCGCTGGCGAGCAGCTCTGGTACTCGGCGGGATGCACTGGCGAGCCGCTCTGGCAGGATACTGGGTGGGATCCACTGGCGAGCTGCTCTGGCGGGGGGTGATGCTGGGTGGGGGCGTGGTGTAGAAGCATCGCAAACACGGATTCCAACATAAAATCTAACAACCCTTCCTGTCGGGTGGGGAGAAACCAAAAGGCTTGAGGGGCATGTCTTGGTGCAGTCCTTAGTCCAAGTGCGTAGTTTCCTGGCCGCCCACGCCCGCTGACCAAAGACAAAGGTGTGGATTGGGGCCGCCGAAACCGAAGACAGAGCGACTTTCTTTGCCGAATGAAGCGTACAAGGGGCTTCACAATGCTGCTACATGTGCGGCCGCTGCGACCTTGGCTTTCTCTTTCGTTAGGCAACCAATCCTTCAAAAAAAATGGCCAACCAAATAACATGACCTCAACCCAAAAACATGGCTTCCACGTGTCATGGACGCGTAGGGTCCATTTTGCAGCCAGGAACACAATAAACTACACAAATATACCCCTAACGGAGGGTGTTTGCATGTTAAGACCCCTGGAAAAATACAAATATGTCCAGCAATGATAAATTCCCTTTAAAACCAACATGGGCAGATGAAAAAAAACAACTGATCTTAAGCAAATGGAAGTTATGTGTCCAAAAAGCCCCAACCCCACTCCCCCAACCCCAAACGTGTGCTTTGAAGACGCCGTCTCGGGCACCACCTCCAATTCGTTGTCCCAGGACTCGAAGCGCTCACGGCCCTAGAGCTGGGAGAAGCGGGCGGAAGGAGCCGGGTCGCTTGCGAGCGCCGTCGTTTGGAAGGTCCCCCAAAATTGCCTTTTGGTTGCACCATTGGTTTCGAACCCCCCGAAATAGCCTTTTGGTTGCACCCTGGGACAAACGGTCATTTTGGGGGATTTTGGGGAGGGGCTCAAAGCACAACTAAGAGGAAAAGGACAAGGCCACGTTGGGGGTCAGGACAACCAAAGGAAAGCACCAGCAAAGGCAATTTTGGGGGGTCAAAAGGACAGCCAAAAAGGTTGGTGGGTCGAAAGGACAAGCAAAAGGGAAAATGCCTAAAAATGCCTTTGGTGGTCCTTTTGGTTGTCCTTTGAACCGCCAAAATGGCGGTCCTTTTTGCTTTTCTTTCGCCAAGCAAAAGGTACCAACTCAAAAAAAGACACCACCAGATCACCCTTCTGGACCGTTTCGAAGGGAAACCAGCCTGGAGGAGACGGCCCCTCATTCTTAGAAAGCCAGTTTTGCAAAAGGAGAAGAGGACCCAACTCCGGCTCTCGAAAAACTTACCCGTTTCCAAGCCCTGGGGAAGTTAATCTTTTACAGACATATAGCCCACGTTGCCCAAAAAGTCGAAAAGTTGTGTTTGCAAGAGGTAAGAAAAGAATCATGAAGAAAGAAGCGGAAACTGCGCAGCCGGCTTCACAAGCCCTGCCTTCTCTGGCGGAGAGTTGGGCTGGAAAATCACCCCACTCACCGCCACGCCGCTACTCGGCACGATGACCTCACGCAGAAGATGCGAGAAACACAGCAAAACCCCGCGCGGTCGGGTCCATTGAAGCAGCATCCTCAAAATCGTCCGAGGTGGCGCTTTGAAAGCAAAAGCCCTGACAAACACGCGAGGAACGGACCTCGCGCGACTTTACCAGAATCTCGCCACCCCCCTCCCCCGCCCTGCGGCAGGAGTAGTTTCTGATAAGTGTATCTCTCCACCCACCTACCCACCCACCTTCCCACCCATCTACCTACCCACCCACCCACCACTCAAGCACTTTGATGGAAGGAACCCCCAAAAAGCAGGGCGCGATGAAACCACGCCTGCTTGCCGCCCTTCTCTCTGATCTTCTTCACCTGCTTTGGGTCATAGTAGACCTCGCAACGAACTTTTTGGCCCGTAGAGATATCCCCGCACACGCCTTAAAGTGAGGGATGGGCACGCGCCGTCCTAGCTGCATTCCCGGCCGAGCTGGGGGGACAAAACCACAGAACGGTTGCCCGTTCTCCGGGCTTGGCGTCAGCCACAAAGTGGGGGCGATGTCCTTCAACAATCGCCGCAAACCCACCCAGACTTTGCAGGATTCCGTGAGACAAGCTCTTCAACCCTGCAAACATGTGAACTCATCGCCCCCAAGGCCGAAAACCGGAAACCACTGGACCTTTCGGGTTTTTGCTCGGGCGCACGCCGGTTTTGGGCCAAACCCGCTGACTCTCCCATTACTTGAGCGGCTTGTGCCACCAGAACACCCCGCGGGCGCCTCCACGATGACGCGGTGAAACATCTCGTCCCCGAAGACGTCGTGGGGCCGGCTGTACCAGTTCGCCGTCTCCAGCAGGGGGCTCACAAAGGCCCCCGGGAACCAGAACTCGTGGCCTTGCCTCCAGGTCGATTCGAGGAAGGCGAGTCGGAACGCGTGGGTTTCAAAACCCATCGGCACCAGCTGGAATGGATGAAACACTAGGAGAACCAGCCACCAACTGGTGGCTTTTTTGTGTTGTCCATCCTCGGTTTGTGGAGCGGATCCCCTGCCGCTTCGTTCCCTCAGGATTTGCTGAGAACCCGGCGGGGGATCCACCACCTCCGCAACTCATCCAGTTGAGGCCGACCCGAAGCCAAAGGGCTGCAGCTTTCTTGGGGAAGATCCCCTACTTTGCCAAACTGCGAAGCTTACACCATGCCATTTTGAAGTCGCATGAATCTTGCAAGTCAGAACTTTCAGTGCCCCGCGATGCTCCCACACAGAAAAATTGCGAATAGTCCCCCAGGATTTGTGAGCCCTTGATTCATAACGTGCGCCAATTCTTTGATGTGGATGACTTTTGGGTGCACGTCCCCCTAAAAATAAGCCAGGCTGAACAAGCGTCGACCCCGGATTCTCAAACCGGCTCCTCTCTAAAACGAAGGAACCCTGCCCCGTAAAAAATCAGCCGGGCAGCCCCTCATCCTGTGACTCCAGCAGAATGCCGTGGTGCAGTATCGACCACAGCCCGTAAAACCTTGCGGGCGTGGGGGCCGTGCACAAGCATGCCCCTCCTGTGTATTTGATCCCTTGGTGGTGGGGGGGAGGTGCTCTTTTCCTTAGTTGGGCTGGTGGTTTAATCGGACCCATCAAGAACCAAGGGCTCCCATACTCTCGCACTCATCCAAATCTAACGAAAGCTTTTGGTTTGGGACCGGAAGGTTCCTTCCGTTGAGGCTTCCTCATGTTCTTATGCCTCGCCAAGAATGATGTGCGTGCGCCTTAAAACGGACACGCACTTTCTTAAACTTCAGAAAGGAAACCACCTTCTTTGAAGGGGGCGCCTGCTTCCCCCCCCCTAAATACGGATGCAAGGTGCTTGCAATGGTGCGTGTGCATGCTTGTGCACTGTGCATGGGCAGTGCACACGTCTGCTGCATTTGCGCAAGCAGTTTCCCCGCTTCATTGACTTGGCAAACACAACATCAAAACGCCCGTGTGTACTCTGAGGTTGCTTTCAACGCCTAAAGGGTAAGGTCTGGCACTGAACAACCCCTTTTGGTCAAGCCCGAAGATTACATGAGAGTCATGGGCCGCGAAGGGACCTGCTTCAGCTCCAGACAACGCTGCCGGCTTGGACCACCATTCAACATGAAGAGGATTTCTGGCCTCCCCCTTGAGAAAAAAAAGGCGCATGCTTGCTGGGATAAAAATTAGGCAGCCAGCTAAGGAATACGGGAAATGATGAACCCGCCTTGAGCTTTGGATGCGCAAACTATCATGGAACCCGAAAAAAAGGGAGCTGTTTACATGAGCGTCGGCTTCTTGGCCTGCATACGCAGGTGAGGGGATCCCTTGGAAAAAGATGCTACCTCAAAAAGAAGAAGCAAACAAAAAGGCAAAAAAGGCCGTAAAGAGTGGATGGTGAGGGGTCCTTCCACCTCATTCCCTACTTCTCGCACCCGCTTTCAGGGGAGCGCCTTCCACCGCACAAGTGTCGGTCGAAATTGGTCCAAGGCCCAGGCCAGGTGCCGTGGTAGGCCTTGGCCCAGTTCTTCTGGGGCCGCAAGGGGGAGGTGTCCGGCTGGTCGGGGGGTTGGTACTTGTAGTAGAGGAAGGGCCGCGGCACCTCGCCGTCCCTGAGATGCGCGGAGCCAGGTGTGCAACTTGACAACTTGACCCCCCCCCGCTTCGGTGCACCTGACTTTCACCCGGACCAGTGGAAAAGCGTTAAACAAAAACTACAAAGAATCCTGGAAAGAATGGAAGTACAGCTGGAAGGCTGCGAGTCCTTTCTTGCAGAGCGGGTCCCAGAAAGACTTGTTTCGCCAACATGACTAGAGTTTGCATTGTCCACATGAATGACAAGGTAAAGTAACAACCCCGTTTCCAGCTCCAAAAGACACGCAAAAAAACAAGACCGCTTCAAGTCGCTTCGGCCGGGCTGGGGCAAAACTGCCATCAAAGCCACCTGAAAGCAAATGTCAAGTGGGGAGGGAAAACAACAATCATGGGAGCCACGCTTGGCGACCTTAAAATGCAAATGCCAAAAATACCTAATACCCTGAAGGAGGTTGAAAAACCCCTTCGTGTCAATCCTACCCCCCTCCCCCCCCTTTCCAGTTATCCCTATAGGCAGGTTGCAAAATAGACCGAAAATGTCCATCATGGCGATCGTCATCTTCCATTTGGATAAGACACCTGGAAGAATCAAAAAAGGAAGAAAAACAAACAGGAGTGATAGGTTCCCTTTAAAACCAACAGGGAGAAAATGAAAAAAACCTTAAGCAAATGGAAGTTAAGTGCCCACCCACCCACCCCCCCTCCCTTTCCCAGTTCCAGCGAACTCCTTCCGACGCGCCGCTCCCGTGCCGGGTCCTTCCCTTCCATGCGCTCCAGGCATCCTGTGAGGCTCCGCTGGAGCAGCCACATGCCTAGAGTCCGATGGCTTGGCAAAAGGGGCATAAACCCAATCTGAACCAGGGCCATCTGGAAAAAATGATGGTTCTCCCTGGTAGATGGAGGTCATCAAGCCCAGCTTGGGGTTATTCAAAGGATCCTTCAAATTGAACAAGTGACCCAGGGTCATTGGGCCAGGAATTTGGATCAACCAGAAGAGTAGACCGGGCTGCTCCAAGCCACATGTGCAGAAGGTCAATGACCTTTTCTCATTTCTGGTTGGTTGGGTCTAAAGGGGAACCCTTCCCCAAAAAAAGTTTGAAAAGAGTTGGCACCACTGGGCAACTGGGTTTTGCAGATTTCATGGAGAAAAAGACCGTTTCCGAAAGGTCCTGACAGGGTTGAGGGCACACACCGCCTTGAATACGCGGCAAGTCGAAAGACAGATAGGCCATCTCTTCGAAAGGTTTCTGTCCCTTGGGTCCAGGGAGTTGGGTCCAAGGAACCGGCCGTCCTAGGGGTCGGCTCCTCATCAGCTGGGTTCTTCACTCGCCCTTCGGGCTGCACATGGAAAGTGCACGAACCGGAAAAGTGATCAACAGGCGTCGCTGGAGTGCCCCTTCAAAAGGTGCCATTGGATTTCCAGGCGGGTTTTTAAGTGAAACCTCACTCACGGCGTTGTGTGAGGCAAAGGGCAAGGACGACAACCTCGCCATTTGTTTTGGAGGTCCAAACGGGGGGAAAATGAAGGAGCCCCTGTCCTCTGAAAATGAACCAAGCCAAGCAACAAAAACTCGAGGCTAGCTAAGCCCAGAGAACCCCATGACTCAAACGCATCTTCCAACAAGCGCCCCAATTTAAGCTGAAGCCCGGGCGCGAGAATGCGGGGATATGGGTGGGTCCCCAGGATCGGGATACGAGACAAGTCAAGAGAAAAACGCACCAGGACATAGGCCAAGCGCTTCAGGGGTTTGGTGGAACCGTTTTTTCCTAAGAAGTTGTTGCAGAGGTGGGTCCGGGGATGGCAAGGGGCGTAGGTTCAGAATAAAGGTGTCGACCCCCACTTGCTCGTCAGCCGCCGGCCATGCCTAAGCGCGCAGCACCCTCAAGCCCAACGTGCTCATGGGAGGTGGACGTTTTGGGATGCCCAGTGGGTGTCCACAGGGGAAAAAAGAATTGGCATCCGATGTTTTTCTTGGGGTGGTTGAGCTTAAGGAATCGGAACCCTTCCCAAAAAAAATGAAAAAAGTTGGCGCCACTGGGCAACTGGGTGAGGGTATCTTATGACTCTGGCTATCTGGCTATGACGCGAATTGTTGATTAGCCTATGGTTCAGAGTTCGATGTTCATGAGTCGTATTGCCATTATTTTATAACATCATGGTGTGGTTTGATTCTGATACGATTTACACATGACCTTGCTGTAACTTGACCAAGGGTTTTGAAGGAGGCTATCCACAACCTCGTGGACAATCCGAACAAACAGGTGAGTAATTTGTGAGTCCCCTCTGGCAAAATCTGACTCGTTTTAACGAACAATTATTCAAGTCCAAAGGTTCGACGGGGGCCTGGTCTTGGCATTGCCCCGGATGAAAAAGAATACATGCAATCGATTCGCTTTCACACCCAAGAAGGGACACGACAGACTGTGGATGGATAAATCCTGCACCACTGTGAAACCCATTGTTGGTCGGATTTACAGGGGAATCACCATTCCAGGATTTGTTAGGTGGTGCAGGATTTTCTTCCATCCGCAGAAGTGAGAGTGGAACAACGTCCGCGGGCCAAAAGGTCTCAGGGCAAAGGCATATGTTTCAGCCTGTGCTCACTTAGATGCTCAGTGGCCAAGCGGAAAAAAAAGGCATCCTTCTTCTGGTTGGTTGAGTTTAAAGGGGAACCCTTCCCAACAAAATAGGTTCCAGAGCGCCGGATTGTTCCGACCCCAAAAAACGCCTCGGCCCACCGGGTCCGGGCCGTCAAAACCCCGAGGCCTGCTTCTTCTTGCCGCGGCCCAGGCTCCGCCACTGCCCCACCATCGAGGCCCGGCTCCTCGGGAGAGCGCGGAGTCGGATGGCGGTGACCCGCAGATCAAGCCCTGAGCTTTGCTGCCGTCGCTTCGCCTAGGGCTCCACCCGCTTTTCACTGATCTGAGCTTTGCTTGTCTCATTGAGGGCGCTAGGGACTTCAAGCGCAAACCTGGCGTTATTGAAAGGGAAGGCATCTTTCAACCAGGTCATGTTGAGAAACCTCCCCCCAAAGAGACAAGAGACGAAAAACGACAGATTGTGACCCAGGAGGTGGGCACCAACTAAAAACCAGGCCGCTTTTCAATCCGCTCTGAGGAATCCTGAGGTGGACATGGACCTGGGTTCACCCCTTGACGGGAGAAGGAAAAAAAAGACAGCAAGGGAGCCCAAAAGCTCC